AAGAATGTGGAGTTTGGGGTTGTTGGCCTGTTGCCAACTCGAACGGCGTGCGCCCGGTGGACTCACTCCTCTGTAAGTTATATGAGAATTGTGCCATGTCTAGGAGTCTTGCCCAATCTTTTTGGTGCGCACTAACATAGTGCCTCAGGTAGCACTCCAACAGGGCGTTGACGCGTTCGGTCTGGCCGTCTGTCTGCGGGTGGAAACTTGTGGAGAAATGTAGTTTCGTGCCAAGTATCTCGAACAGCTCCCTCCAAAAGTTTCCGGTAAAGCGGGGGTCTCGGTCGCTTATGATATGTCTGGGCAGCCCCCAATACTTTACCACGTTCTTGAAAAACAACCTAGCGGCCTCCTTTGCGGTGCATCCAGCTGTGGCGGGTATAAAGGTAGCATATTTTGAAAACCTGTCCACCACGACTATGATAGTTCCATACCCGTCGGACTTAGGTAGGGAAGTGATGAAGTCCATGGTCACGCTTTCCCATGGACGTTCCGCTACGGGTAGTGGCTCCAGTAGTCCTCCCGGGTGCCTTTGCTCCACCTTGTCTTGTTGGCACACAAGACAAGTCTGCACGTAGCACTCTATATCGTCCCGCATGCGTGGCCAGAAATAGATAGCCTCGATCAGCGCCCTTGTTCTTCGCTGCCCAGGATACCCGGCCCACGGTGTGTCGTGGCTTTCTTTGATGATCTGCCGCCTGATAGTCCCGAACTTTGGCACGTAGACCCTTCGACCAGATGTGAACAAAAGTCCATTTTCCACCCAAAAGCGCCTTGTCTTACCTTGGGCGGCTAATTCCATCAGCTTCTTGGCTTCGGGATCATGTTGCATGCCATCCTTGATTGCATCTTGAATATCACAATGGACCGTTGTGATGGCAGCAAGTTCGGCCTTTCTACTGAGCACATCGGCCACAACGTTGCCCCTTCCTGGCTTATACTCCAAGACGTAGTCGAACTCTGCTAGAAAGTCCTGCCACCTAGCTTGTTTCGGGGTGATTTTCTTTTGAGACTGAAAGTAGCTAGTGGCTACGTTGTCTGTCTTAACCACGAACTTGGAGCCTAGCAAGTAGTGTCTCCACGTGCGCAGGCAATGTACAATGGCCGTCATTTCTTTCTCTTGCACTGTATAGCGCCGTTCGGTCTCGTTCAATTTGCGGCTCTCGAATGCGATGGGGTGTCTATCTTGCATTAAGACTCCCCCAATGGCGAAGTCCGAAGCATCCGTGTGTACTTCGAAGGTCTTTGAAAAGTCGGGTAGCATCAAGACTGGTTCCTCTGTCACTGCGGTCTTGAGACCTTCGAAGGCTTGCTGGCACTCTGTGCTCCAAACCCACGGCTTATTTTTCTTCAACAACTCGGTCAGCGGGGCGGCTTTTGCGGAGTAACCCCTTATGAACCTGCGATAATAATTTGCAAGTCCAAGGAACGATCGTAGTTCGGTCACTTTAGTGGGCACCTCCCACTCTTGGATTGCCCGTATCTTGGATTCGTCCATCCGTAGTTCGCCTTGACTAATGATATGGCCCAAGAAATGCACTTCATGTTGGGCAAACTCGCACTTCTCCCGCTTGATGTATAGCTGGTTCTCTCGTAAGACTTGGAAGACCCTCCTCAGATGCCCCACGTGCTCCTCCAAGGTGTCGCTGTAGATGACAATGTCGTCCAAGTAGACTACTACGAACTGATCCAAGTAGGGATGGAAGATCTTGTTCATCAGCGTGCAGAAAGTGGCGGGTGCGTTGGTTAAGCCAAAAGGCATCACCAACCACTCGAATGCTCCGTATCTGGTTACACACGCTGTTTTCGGTTCATCCCCTTCTGCGATGCGTACTTAGTAGTAGCCTTTTCGGAGGTCCACCTTAGTGAAGTACTTGGCCTGCCCAAGCCTGTCGAACAAATCTGCAATGAGCGGGATAGGGTATTTATTCTTAATAGTTACCTTATTGAGCGCCCGGTAGTCGATGCATAGACGTAAGGATCCGTCCTTCTTCTTTTGGAATAGTACTGGTGCGCCATAAGGTGCCTTGGATGGACGGATGTGACCGGCCTCAAGAAGCTCCTTCAGCTGCTTCCGTAGCTCCTCTAACTCAGGTGGAGCCATGCGGTAAGGTGCATGTGCGGGCGGTTTGGCTCCAACCTCCAGCTCTATCTTGTGGTCTACCTCGCGCCTCGGAGGTAGAGTCTTTGGCAGCTCGTCTGGCATCACGTCCTTGTTCTCCTCCAGGACCTTCTCTATGATTGGTGGCAAGGTCTCCTTAGCACCATTGTCTTCTCCCAAACTTGCGATGGTAGCTAGGAACGTCGGTTCTCCTTTCTTCAGGCCCTTCACGATCTGCATGGCTGACAAGAGGGCATGTCCTTCCTTTTTCGGTACCTTAACTAGATGTACCATGCACGACCCTTCCCGCTCCATGACCATGAGTCGTTGGAGGTAGGGATCGATCATCGTATGGTAGCGCTGGAAGAACTCCTGCCCAAGAATAATGTCAAAGATATCCAAAGGAGCGACGGTAAAGTTTGTCTTACCTTGCCAATCTCCAATCGTGATGCTCACTCCTTGGGCGACTCCACACACGGGGGTCGGTGGTGCATTGACCGTCTTGAGGCGGGTGTTGCTTGGAACATACTTCAGCCCTAACCTCTCTGTCGCCGTCTTGGTCATGATGTTTGTTTCTGCCCCTGTGTCCACCATGGCACGAGCTGCGCGTCCATTAATGGAGATGTCTACGTACTGCGTGTTGAAGTTTCCTGGTTTCTCCGTCTGTTTGGCTATTGCCCCGCATAGTCCAACCATGCCTAGTTGCTTCGTGCCCGCATCCTGCCCTTGCTCTTGCGCGTCCTTTTCCTTTCGCTCACGTAGGATGGCGCCAAGGTTCTTCATCTCCGGGCACCTGGCATAGCCATGTGGTCCTCCGCATATGTAGCATCCATCTCCTTTGGTGGTCTGCGCCTTCCTATCCGTGTAGTTCTGGCGCACGAACCGCTTGCCGTCTGATTTGTGGGAGTCGGGCTGTCTTGGGTGCGCCTGCTGCTCCTTGCCTCGGCCGCGATCTCCCCACCTTTAGCATGACTGCCCCTTGCATCTTTGCCTTTAGCCTTGTCATGCCGTTCATGTTTGTAGTCCGTCAAGGACTCGGCTTGTGTGATGGCCTCATCTATGGTCTTGACTTGCCGCCGTTCCAACTCCGTTTTGGCCCAGTTCTGCAGTCCGTCCATGAAGTGGAACAGCATGTCCTCGTCCGTGAGGTTGGGAATCTGAAGCGTTAGTGTTGTAAACTCTTTTACGTACGCCCGTATGCTTCCTGTTTGCTTCAACTCCCTGAACCTACGCTTAACCTCGTATATGACGTTGGTAGGGAAGAAGGATCTCTTGAACTCTTCGCGGAATTGCTCCCACGTGTCGATGGTGCACGTCCCCTTCCCTATTTCAGCTTCCTTGCGTCTCCACCAAAGCATGACCATCTCGGAAAGATACAACACGGCAGTGTTGATCTTATTCTCGTCACTCTTCACCCGATTACACTTGAAGTAGTTCTCCAAGTGCCACAAAAAGTTCTCCACCTCCTGAGCATCGCGGGTGCCTTTAAACATAGGTGGCTTGGGAGCCTCGACCCTGGCCTCCCTATCGCGGTCGGGTGATGCCGATCCTCCAGCTTCTATGCCTTCCTTGAGTGTCCTCATTTCGGCTTTCATGGTTTCGATTGTGTTTAATGCCTCAATGAGCCGGCACTCCAAGTAAGTGATGGCCTCCTTCATCTCGAACTCGGCCCGCTGACGCCCCTCCAACTCCTTGCGGACGTTTTCGATCTCCTCAAGGGTGAAGTCCTCAAGAGTTTTGAATTTGCCGTCGGCCACATTCATGCGTCGGCCTAGTACCTCCACGGCCTGCCTTGCCACTTCTACCCTTGCGACCCAGTCTTCGCCAGCGGTGACGTCAATGGCCTCCTCGCCAAGTTCCTCGTCGCTTGCCTCGGTGGTCGAGGGTGGATGAGATGTAAGTGCCTCGCTAGGTGTGGGATCCGGCAGCATTTCTTCAGGACTCTTTTGGTGCTTCTTACCCTTTCGGGCCTTCTTTCCACCATCCGGACGGACGTTGGTGGTGCTAGCGGCGTTTATGTCTCCCTCAGTCGCCATTCCCTTAGTATCGAACCATCCTTCGGTTGCCATTCCCTTAGTGCAAACCTTCGCTCTGATACCACGTTGTCACGGACTTAGAGTGATGACTAAAGTTCCGTGTGGCCCTTGACGGTTTACTCACTAATCTTTCAAGCTTCTTGTAAACTCAAGGAAGCCTTTAGGACTTGGTTTGCTAAGAGAATGTTTAAAGAAAGACTTTGAAAGAACGAAGAGAGCTTTTTGAAGAAGGCTTTGTATTAGGCTTTGGAAGATTGCTACAACTTGCTTGGTGCCTTTGCAAATGGTGGCACCTCTATTTATACTACTCTCCAAGGACTAAAGTGTAATTAATATTTACATGGGAAGTCCCTAAGTTATCTACACTTTGGTCCCTTTTCTAGAGAATTCTACATAGTCTAGAATTCTCCAAGGCCTTCTTGAGTTGTCTAAGGGTTTCTAGAGTTTTCTCCTTAACTCTAGAAACCTCCACGCCTCTTTGGATGCAAAATTTGCCTATGGCAGTGGCGGGACGTCACATTATGCTATGAAAGTTGGGAATTGAAAGTAGGAAAAATCACTCTATTTTTGAATTTATTTAAGATTTTTTTTCTTTTTTTCACGTCTAAAATCACTTATGGTATCAGCAATCATCTCCATCACTCTTGTTTGAATTTCAAATCTTTTCTATTTCTAATTTATCAATTGCAAGTTATTGAAGAGGTAGTTCTTCTTCATTCATTTTTTCTTTCCACTTCATTAGGTATCAATTTTTTTAAAATTTTGTTTTAACTTTTTCATCTACAAATTTAGTCGAAGAAGGATGCATCTTCAGCTTCAAACTCACTTGTGGATAAAACACCCCAAAAAAAGGGAAAAGATGGAGTTATTGGTGGCTCCGGTAAGGGCTTTGGGTCGAGGTCCATAGGTGACACCATTGTTGAGAGTAAAAAAAGCTACGAAAGTTGATACAGAGAAAAAGAGAAAGTGTAGAAGGATTTCCTCATCATTTTTTTGCTTTCGGCAAATCAGATTGTTGACTCTCTTTTTTTTCCGATTTTTGTTGTTCATCTTTTTCTGAACATATGGGTTCAATTTTTTATGTATCTAGTTGTTTTTGTTTCTTAAATTAATGTATAATGCAGTCGTTTCAACATTATGATACATTATAATTTTATCGAGATTTGTCGGTGGCTCCGGTAAGGACTTTGGGTCGAGATCCATGGGTGACGTCATTGTTGAAAGTGAAAAAAACTACAAGAGTTGATACAGAACAAAGGAGAAAGTGTGGACGGATTTTCATCTTTTATTTTTCGGAAAATGGCTTAAAATACCCCTTAACTATGCGAATTGGTACAAAATTATCCTTCTTCTACCTTTCGAGCCTAAAATACCCTCGACATCAATTTTTTGGCTCTATTTTACCCTCAACTTTAACAGCCTAAATGATAACCTCAATCAACAAATTCATTAATAACGTGTCATTATTCTATTGATTACTCTAACAATTAATTAAACTATTTCAAAAAATCATATACCCACCCATAAACTTACCCAAATATTCTAATCCAACCTTCATCCCAAACCTTTTAACCTAAAAATCAATAAGCTCCAAATCCAAATCTCTTCTCTTCTCTTCTTCCTCTATCAAAGTTCACAAGAACTCAAATATACTGTAAATTATTAAAACTGTAAAAAATTGTCTCTCCATTTGGGCAGTATATTTGCAGGTGGAGGCGAATTTCGGTATTCAAAAAAGGAATAGAAAAAGACACATCCTCATCAGCTTTAATGTGAGCTTTGATAGAGGAAGAAGAGATAGATTTGGATTTGGAGCTAATTGTTTTTTTTTAGGTTAAAAGGTTTGGGGATGAAGGTTGGGTTAGAATATTTGGGTAAGTTTACGGGTGGGGCTTTTGGGTGGGTATATGGTTTTTTTAAGGCAAAATTACTAAAGTACACTACATATGTTTACCTATTATCAATTAATCCCTTTTCTTTTATAAAAATTCAAAAATCCCTACTTTTTCCCCAATTCCTATTTTCCGGATACTTTATTGTGAAAGAAATCAAACCCATCTTCCTCATCCCCAAAATCTCGCCTATAATCTCTCCCACTACCAAATCAGTTACCACTTTCAAAGCAATTTGATTTCCAAACGATTCAACAGTGTCAAAGTTCAAAATAGGTATTCTTCTTCTTCTTCATTTTTCTTTCAAAATCAATTTTTTGTTTCAATCGATTTTGGGTTATTTGTCACAATGGATCATCCGTCTTTTAATATTGGGATTTCCCAATTAATAACACCTAACAATGAACAAATTTTTGAATCTGAACACCGAAACTTGAATGAACAGAGGTCTAAAAGCTTGCATGCAACAACATTAATGGCGAATCGAACTTCTTCCAAGAGAAAATCGAAAACGAAAGTGGGGTCATCATCTAAAGCAAAGGATGCAAAAACTAAAAAGAAAAGGGGTAGAAAGGTTGCCCCTCCCATTTTACGACCAACATTACCCATGGTATGTCTATCTTTTGCTTTTAATTTTACACATTGTTGAAAAATAAACGTATCTAGTGTATATTGTAATCTGTAGAAACACTGATTGTTTGGGTTTGAGTTTTACTTATAAATTTGTAGATGAAAGATATGGTTGTTGAAATAAAGTATCTGTTACTTGTGATTCATATATCTGTTTATCAATTGCTGATATCTTATTGTTGATTTTAAGGTTTCATTGTTGAAATAAAGTATCTTTTACTTGTGATTCATATATGTAGATGATAGAAAATAAGTATTTGTTTTACATTTGTAGATGAAAGACTAGTTTAAAGCAAGTTTTGTGTGCTGCGATTTGTATTTAAGATAGGCAAGTTTTGTATTTAAGATAGGCAAGTTTTGTAATCTGTAGAAACACTGATTGTTTAGGTTTGAGTTTTACTTTTAAATTTGTAGATGAAAGATATGGTTGTTGAAATAAAGTATCTGTTACTTGTGATTCATATATCTGTTTATCAATTGCTGATATCTTATTGTTGATTTTAAGGTTTCATTGTTGAAATAAAGTATATTTTACTTGTTGATATTAAGGTTTCATGGTTGAAATAAAGTATCTTTTACTTGTGATTCATATATGTAGATGATAGAAAAATAAGTATTTGTTTTATATTTGTAGATGAAAGACTAGTTTAAGGTAAGTTTTGTGTGCTGCGATTTGTATTTAAGATAGGCGTTCAATTCGTTGTATGATATAGAGGTTATTTGTGTACAATGTATCATATTCAAATTTGGGAACAAGGAACAAAAGTCAATCTGATGAGATAAAACATCTGTCTATCATCCTGTCTAACTACCTTCATGATAGTGGATTCTTTGATAAAACCGACAGAATTGATTGGGCAACATTGGATGCATACAAAGAAAACAAAACTGGTGAATTGATGGGTCCACACCATCCGTTTGAAGTGGAATTTGCTCGAGGCATTATGCAACAAAAAAGCGATAGCCTGTAAGTATTTAATCCACCCAGCTTTATTTACACATTTCCTTCAATTTATAATGTATCTTCTTTATGTTTTCAGCGACTGCGGAACATATGTAGCTGCTTTTGCTGAATTTCTAAGCGATGAAATCAAGGTCCCATCGATTCCTTTTCAAAGTGAATATCTTCGCTCAAGATATGCAACACTGTTATGGAAATATGGTACCGACAAGGCCAATGCTGGATACGTTAGC